TCTGTCTCTTTGTTATTTTTTTATCAAAAAGATCTTGTACCAAAATATTTAATCATAAAATTTTCGTCCTTTAACACACTTGAAAAATGCTTACTTTCCTAGTTTGGGTCTTTAAAAAATTCTGTAAAATATAAGGTGTACGCCATTTTGAATGGCCTCACAGATCCCCAACAACTTCATATTACTTATAATTCATAAATCTATTATTTACCAAATCAGTGGATAGCAATTTTCGTGCCTTTGATTGGCTCCCATGACTCAGAATTTCCTTGGCAAGTCACTGACAGTTTCGAAGGACGAAAGTGTAGCGATGCATGAAGCAGGTGTTTTAACAAATATCAAGAAAGCAGCGAAAGTTATCGTAAATTTGGCTTGTTTGTCTTTACTGGTAGGTTGTAGAGCGAGGCAGGCTTCAATGTTTCTTTCTGCTTGTATTTGTAATATTTTTCTTTTTGTTATTTGGTAATCGCCTGTTTCTTTTCCCGATGGATTAGCTTAGTAGCTATTTTCGGCGCGTCCAATATTGTAATTTTTCTATTCTTGTTAATAAATTAATTGTTTTGTTTTTTTTTTTAATGTCGCAACAGATCGGGGGGTGGGTGGGTGGGTTGGAACTATCCCTGCCCCCCAAAAGTCGTTGTGTTGCATTTTTATGAATATCTATCTGTTTTTCTTTCAGACAGAGACGAATGTAGTTCCGTGAGATGCGCCTATCGCTGTCTGAATACTCCTGGGGGCTACCGATGTATTTGCCCGAGTGGTTACAATTCCACTGGCTACTACTGTTCAGGTAGATGTTCTGTTACCTTGAACGGGTGACCATTCTGTGGAGCTTTCAGTAACAGAACATGCTTCGTCTAGAAGCTGGGAGAGAGTTAAGTAGTAGTGGAGCAGAAGTCCCGCTGATCAAGGTTTTGACTGTAGTTTTTCTCTCTCTTCTCTTCAGATTTTGATGAATGCGAGGCTGGAGCAAAGTGCAATGACGATCAGTTTTGCTTTAACACTTACGGGGGTCAGAGATGCATTCCTAAATTGAAGTGCTATACAAATTACGAAAACATGTCAGACACGTAAGTACAAATGGTTAGGTTAGGTTAGGGGGATGGGTTCGAACCAACCACATGCTTCACTTATTACACAATAACTTCATTTCACCCCCACCCCATCGATAACTTTTTACGCGCCACCGCCCTTTCCCCCTAGCCTCGAGAGATACTGCGATTCACATATTTCTAATTAGGATTTTAAAAATTGTTGACTTACGGCAGGTTTAGCACCTAGGCAGCTTTATATTCCTCTAATTGCCAGGTCTAGACTAACTAAAAGCTGTTTCTTACCTTCCGCGCGTTTTATCTGGATGCCATCATTAGTGCAATAATTGTAACTGCTTTGTATACCAATCTCTTGTACTCGGCGTGTACCATTTTCCTTGACATTTTTTATATTTTTTATAAATTTCGTTATGCTACGGGTCAACTCAAGTACTATTACTTCAAGCACGCATTGCTTGCCTAAAATTACCGATCGCTGTTTAATACTTACCTTGCCCAATTTCAAACCGAGCGGGCTTGGGTCGAGTCTGTTTATTATGGGATAAAGAACAGGAGACCCACATAGTTCAGAAGAGTACAATTTCGGTTAGGAACATTCTCAAGTTTGGTGTACGTTTATCGGGCCTATATTGAACGAGATACAGCCATTCAAAAATGCAGAATTTAATAAGAAATGTAAAGACGTCCAGAAGGTGTGTCCAGTAACCCATATATCTCTTACAAATTTTCAAGTTTTTAAATAGCTGTATCTTGTTTAATATTGGCCCGATCGACATCAAAACTCGAGATTTTTCCTAACCTCAATGTTCTCTTTCTGACTAGGTATGTTTCGAGTTGTTTATCCCAAAATAAACGGACTTGTACCCAGCCCTGCTCGGTTTGAAACTGGACAATTCATACCATCTTCCGTCTTCTTTCTTTTGCTGTGTAGGAGGTGTGACCGAAGATGCCCCGATGGTGATACTGCTTGTTACAACCACAACAAAGTTCAGCGCTACAGTCTCTGGACATTCAAAATGCGTAGCAATGATCCTCCGTACAGAATCTTTAGCTATCGAATTGTCACTTACGGTAAGGGATTATTCACAACCATTCTACGTCACGTGACATATCAGGTTTGACAGACTTTTCAGGGTATAAAATATAGGTTGGAAATATTAGTCGGGGTGCATCCTAATTTTTTTTTGCTCCTTTTATTTCCAGTTAATACGTACAGTATTTGACCACCAAATCTTGACTGAATGTGCCATAGCTGGCACGTTTGTTTTCGTCGTTATAAAATTCATACTAGGTTTTTCATGGCCTCTATGGAGGTAATGTGCTCTCTAGGCAGAGCAGCAATGATGACTAGTGTCCACGTTTATGGATCGCAAATCGTCTTAGCAATCTGCAGCGACAAGTCAAGCGATTTCTCGAGGGAACGTGAAAGCGTTGTGTGTTTCTCTTTAAAGCCATGTTGATTTTGATAAAGAAAGGGCTGTGCAGTATCATTGTCTAATTAAAAGAGACTTATCTGTGAGTCGAAGTTTGACCGAGATTCTTCCATAGCGTTTTCAAGAAGGAAGAGATCATATGAGTTAGCTAGTCACGTGACATCGAGCTTAGTGCGAGGTTTGGCTTCGAGCGAGACCCGGGCCTTCCTCTTATTGCTGGTTTGTACGTGAAGTCATAGCAGTCATGTTGCTGGTCAAGAACAAAAATATTTTTTCTCCTCTGTGAATTAAACTCCATTTTCCTGTAAATTCTTTGAAATTATTTCTATTGTATTGACCACCATGTCACGTTGTTGCAAACCAAGAATCTTAGGGTCTGGATGAGTGGGTCCCTCATTTGGTGAACGATATGATCGGAACACGCCACTGAAATAGCAGCTTTCGGCATTGATTCTGTACGTTATGCCATTGAAAACCATTTTGATTTCACGGAGCGAAATCGTTTGAAATGAATAACTTTTTTTAACTGTTATTTTTGCAGGCTACAAGAAACGTCCTGAAGTCAAATATTACTTTCATCGTGGCAATAAAGAGAAA